TCTGCATGGGTTTCCTCTGGGTGCTCTGGTTTCTATCCATTGACTGAGATATGCAGATTAGGTGGATTGGCCATAGTGTCCAGGGATGTGCGGGGTAGGTGGATTAGCCATGGGAAATGCAGGGTTATGGGGATAGGGTAGGGGGTGTGTCTGGGTGGGATACTCTTTGGAGGGTCAGTGAACACTCGATGATCAGTTATTGGAAAATGGTAAGAGATGCTCACACCTTATCCAGTCTTTTGATAAAGCTCTCACTGTCTCTGTCAGGTTTCCAATGTCCAATGGAACATTGGGAGGATGAATTTGGACAAATTCTGATCACTTCCCAGCACAAACTGCCCTTTCTCCCCCCAAAATCATGTTTTACACTTTTGATTGTTGGCTTATTTTAACTTGAATGAGTTTCTTGCCTCTAATCCTTCCATCAATTACTTTAAATTTCTGTTTCCCAGTTACTGACTTCTCGCTAAGGGAAATACAATTGAAATAATCCCATCAGCTGCCTCTGTCACTTCCCTCCTTTCTACTAGCTCACCTGGACAAATTTCCATTAATACTCCCCCAATCTATAGCCTTGAACTCCAAGCTTTCTCTTGTTTCTCTCCCAGCTGTCCTCATACCCTCCATGAGACCCATCTTCTGCTACTTTTTCTCGTCTCTCTCCCTCCTGTGCATGTGCTGATCCCATCACTGCCTTGGATGCTGCGGGCCTTCCTCTTCTGATCTGCTGTCAAACACATCTGAGCATATGTTTCTCACACTGATGTCGTCAGTTTGAAAGCCTCCGAAGATGAAGAATGCATTTCCCACACTAGAAATCTCCATCACACGTTTACCAGGGGAACAGAGACAGCAGTCGCAATTCGTGAAGTTTTATTGAAATGGAACAATGACAAGCATGGAATCTCACAGAAGCATTGACCTCTGGGATTGATGGCCATTCAGCTCCTTGCTAAATTGCTGAAATCAGATCTACTTGATCAACTATCTGCTGTGAAGTAGCACCGCTCTGTTCGCGATGACAAATCTGGTCATTCGCTGTTACCATCTATGGCCAAGAACACTACCTTGCCAAATGAGTAGACTTTAGTTGAGCATTGAATGTCTGCACTCTGACTGGCTCTCCAATTCTCAGCTCTGGCAATGATTTTTCCACTTTATCAATGTGAAATCTGGCTTTATCTGGTCACTCACTATTGTTACTAGTCTGGAAGTGTATAATTAATTGTTGAACTGGACAAATTTCCATGCTTTCAGTGGGTGTGTTTCTCTATGCTAAGATTTAAATGTACAATACTTTATTGAAATTGGCAGATTTTTCTAATTGTCTGTTTGGCACAAACAAAATAGGATCAGGAATAGATCAGGAGGCCTGTCGAGCCTTTTCCACCATTGATATGGACATAGACCATAGATGATCTTTTATCTCCACTTTCCCACCCACTCCCTGTGCCCAATGATATCCTCAGAGACCAGAAAAATGTGTCTATCCGAGCATTAAATATATTCATGAATAACATTCACATCCCTCTGAGGTAGAGGATTCTAAAGATTCACAAGTGAATGAACTAATTTCTCCTCATCTCAATCCTAAATGACTAGTCCCTTAACCTGAGACTGTGCCCCATTGATTTGCATTCCCCTACCAGTGAAAACAATCTGTGTCCACCCTGTTACACCCCTTCACGATCTTGAGAACAGTTCTGAGGAAGGGTCACTGGACCTGAAATGTTAACTCTGATTTCTCTCCACAGACCTGCTGAGATTTTCCAGCAATTTCTGCTTTTGTTTTTGTTTCTGATTTCCAGCATCCACAGTTCTTTCATTTATTTTCTTCTCTTCACAATCTTGTATGTTTCAATGACATTGTCTCTTATTCTTCTAAACTGCAGTGAATATCAGCCCAATTTACTCAGTCTCTCATCAAGGACAACCCATTATCCCAGGGACCAATGATGTAAAACTTTGCTGTACCACCTTCAATGGATATCCCTTCTTAAACCTGGAGATCAAAACTGCACACAGTCCTCCAGACATGGTCTCAGCAAAAAAAAATGTACAATTCTAGCAGGATTTCTTTATTCCTGTTCTCCAATCCCCCCTTGCAATAAAGATCAACATGATATTTATCTTCCTAATTGCTTGCTATCCCTGCATGCTAACTTTCTGCATCCCTCATATGAGCATAGCCAAGCCTCTTTGAACATCAATACTTACAAGTTGCTACCTTATAAAAAATATTCTATTTTTCTGTTTTCATGACCAAAGCAAATAACTTCACACTCCCTACCGCTATATTCTATCCGGTATCTTGTTGTCCACTCAAGGACTTACCCATATCTCTTTGTAGCCGGTGTCCTCCCCACAGCTTACATTTCTACCTGTATTTGTATCATTGGCAAAAATAGAAATTGTTGTGTTAGATTATTTTACAAAATAATCTCAGGAGTCTCAAAGTACCGATTTAGGAACATTTATTGTGCCAGTGTTGGGAGAGTCCATCCAGAAAAGATTCTGAGGTAGCTCTCTAACTCAATGAGGATTCATCAGATATTTATACAATGTAAGTCTCGTAGACAGTACATTACTTGAATTCTGAAATGGTCTGTTTTAGACAATATTTTGTTTTTCACACATTCCCAAAGTGGCAGGGCACCTGTTACCCTTGGTCTCATGACTCTGTATCTTCTCAGGCGCCATCTTATCACCTCGGAAGCCCTCGTTTCGTTGCCATCCTTGATTGAACCCCATTGCTTTGTTTTTATTAGCATGATACAGGGCTATCCTCACAGTCCACTTCCAAATAAGGCCTCAGGATTAATGCTGGTTCAGCCACATTACATTTTCACAGTAACTCTGTCTGTCTGCTGCATCAGTATCTGAGCGTGCTTATACTGCTTAACTAACTTTTGTTTTAATTTGAATACTTTCTTGAATAATAAATAAATAAATAAGAATCTTAAATGATTTATACGTTCATTCTTATGAAGTTAACTAAAATTCTGTACCTCATTCTAATCCTGGCTGGAACTTCATGTGAATTTATAAGTTAACCCATCTCATGCCCAAATTTCCCTGTAACAAACTGTCTACTTATCTTTCAGACATATTCCAACCTCACAGGTAGTCATTGCCATTAGCTACTTTAACTCCCAGTCATCTGACGATATCAGTTCTAGTGAGAATGAACAGGTCTACTACCAGCTTCGACTATGGACTGTCTGGTATATCCTGTCTTAAGCAGCTCTATATCTTGTTTAGTTTGTTGTTCATTACAAATACTGCACTGGCTGATGTGGTCCTTCATCTCATTGCTCATATTTGGCCAGACAGCACTTCTCTTACCTTCCTCAAGCTAGTCTTGCGTCAAGTCCGAGAGCCCGTAGGTGCAGCTAAGTGTTGAATTTAGGACTTTAGAAAAATCCTGCGAACAGTAGGTGGCTTGAAAGAAACTGCTGAGCATTTAATACTTCAGGTCAATGGTCCAGTAAGACTCTGGTGATTTTATCTTTACCTTTTACTTCAGTACGGCAGTGAGTGGCACGAAAGAAGCCTATGAGCAACTGAACATGATGAGACCTTGCAAACCCAGGGTAGCACTGGCTTGGTGAAGTGAGCAGTCGGTCAAAGCTGAATCTGTGGTTGTGAGTAGGTGCTCAGGTGCAGTTTCCAGAATCGAGGGAAACAGAATCCCAGGAAAGGAGAATGAAATTCCAGCAGTTGATGCTGTCCATTACAGAAAGGTTTTACAGGAGTTTCAAGGCCAGATTGTGAAAAGTAGAGAATTGGAATCATTATGAAGTTTTAATGAATTTTGAAGACTCACAATGCCAGTGATGTCTGAGGGTGCTGACAAATTTGTGGGATTTACCTTGACTATATTTGTTGATAGGGTGTATGACTACACAGATTTGCCTCATTGTTAATTCTCGGAGGTAAGGAATATAAATTTATACAGTTAAACCTATTTTTTTGTTGAGCAATCTCTCTCTTGGGTGAGAAATTTTATTTGTAATAAACTAGTTATAATTATTTGACTAAAGAAACATGGCTGATTTGTTTTTAACGCTAATCCAAATATAATCAGCAATTTGTAAGTTTGACTTAAAAACTTCCCGGTTAAATATAAAATTTGCTCTGATCAATGGAGGAGTGGGACAAGGAGAAGAATTGATGCACCCATACAGAATTGATTGTAATAGAGTTGCAGCTCTTAACGGCATGTCAGTGATATACATCCGTTTTCCTTGCCTCGACTTCACTTCCAAACAATGTCTCTGTAAATTAACTAACATACTTTGCAAGTATTTTAGAGCAGATGCAAATGGTTTCAGAAACGTTTTTTGAATTGTCATGTGGTCAGAGTCTATTATCATTTTCTGTCTCCTGAACAGGTACTGGATGAAGTGCTCACAAGAAAAGACAATATCCAGGCTCTCTTTCTCCATCTGTGTACAGCAATGTTCAGTGTGTGTTAATGCTCTGGATACAAACACAACGGGTTGCCCTCACTGCATGGGGATTGCTCCAAGTCCTGTGTCACTGACATCACACTGCAGGGTGGCTCCATTGTTGACATCATAATCCCTCAGCACTGGTGATGTCATCACTAGGTGTTTGATGGGAGTGAAAGCTGCTTCTTGTTCTGTGTCCCAGTCCCACTGAACACCCAGCACCGTGAGACTGTGTAAACCGTTACACACTCTGATGATGGATTGGGCAAGAGCTTAGCCAGGTAGGCCCTATATGGGTTCACTGATTGTCCGGGAAGTCCAACAATTGGGTGAAGGCTTCCTTATAGAACTAACAGTGACAGGGTTTTTCTCCTGCATGAGCACATTAATGGACTGGGCAATATGTCAGTTGCAAGAAAAGTTTGTTATGCACTTCACACCTGAATGGTTTCTTCTGTGTGAATGCATTAGTGACTGTGGAGACCTGATGACTGTGAGAAGGATTTCTCACACACCTCATACCTGAATGGTTTCTCCCCTGTGTGCATACGCTGGTGCATGAGAAGGTACGATGACTGGGAGAAAGTTTTACCACACACATCACACTTGAATGGTTTCTCCCCTGTGTGGATCCTCAGATGAAGCAGGAGTTTCGCTGACCTCTAGAATGATTTGCCACACATTTCACATGTGAATGGCTTCTCCCCTGTGTGAATCGTCTGATGGAACAGGCGGTCCGATGATGTCAAGAACGATTTGTCACACACCTTACACATGAATGGTTTCTCCCCCGTGTGAATGTATTGGTGAGTGCGGAGAGTCGATAACCACAAGAATGATTTGCCACATACATCACATGTGAATGGTCGCTCCCCTGTGTGAATACGCCGATGCATTACTAGGCCTGAAGACTGAGCAAAGACTTAGTTACACACCTCACATTTGAACAACTTCTCCCCAGTGTGAACACGTTGGTGTTTCCGGAGGTTTGAGGGCTCTGCGAATGATCTGTTGCACACTTCGCACATGAATGGTTTTGCCCGTGTGAATACTCTGATGGAAGAGGAGTGTTGATGACTGTGAGAATGATTTGTCGCATTCCTCACAAGTAAAGGGTTTCTCCCCTGTGTGAATACGTCGATGTTTCACCAGGCATGATGACTGTGCAAAACCCTTGTTACACACCTCACATTTGAACGGCTTCTCCCCAGTGTGAATGCGTCGACGATTCACTAGTGTCGATGACTGTTCAAAGGTTCGGTCGCAAACCTCACACTTGTATCATCTTTCTTTCATGAAGCTACCGTTGTTTTAACGGTCATACAGCAGATTAATCTCGGATGTTCGGATCATTTATGAGTGTCCAAAGCCCTCCAAAAACACCTTACTACAGTTAATGATTGAAGCTGTCATCACACTTGGAGCCACTCACACTTCTTCCCAGCTTCACCCTGATCGATCGCCCACAGCTGAACCTTCAGAAAGGTTGGTTCTGGTGGAAGGCTCCACACCACTGACCAGTTTCAGATCTGATATGTCAAAGCTCCCCTGACCCGACCGATTTGCAGATGATGATTTCACTGCCCAACCTTCTCAGTGTTCAGCAATGCTGTGAAGGGACTGCATGTCTTCTGGTTTTACAATTTTTTCTTCGGTGATGGTCAAGATCTGTTTGCAGTGTCTATCCTCTCAATATTCTCGGTGAATTATGGTGCAATCCTTCTGTAAAACAGGAAAGGAAACATTATTTCTTCCAACTCCCCCACCTTTTTTTACTGAAGGGGATAACAGTTAGAAACTGTTCCACTGTGAGTCTGCTGTTCCCTTGTGTGTCTGGTGGTGGTGGTGGTGGTGGTGGTGGTGGTGATGGTGGGGGGGAGGAATCAGATACAAGTCCTTTCTTTTTTTCAAAAAAATCTCCCAAAGAATGGCAGATGCTGGAAATCAGAAACAAAAACAGAAATTGCTAGAAAAACTCAGCAGATCTAGCAGCATCTGTGGACAGAAAGCAGACTCGATGTTTTGGGCCCAGTGACCAGTCTTTCAAAATTCTGAAATTTGTCTGAGTCTTTCAAGCAATTTCTGCTTTCTTTTTCTTCACTTGACAGTCTCACACAGTGTCTGTTTCCAGAGAGACACTGGATTAGTGACCAGGAGTAGACAATGTGGCTACTTTCTGTCCTCAACATAGACCCCAATCTTCCCAGGCACCATAAGGACAATGGAAGACAGTTGGTTGGAAGTAAAACAGGTTTTCAATTCACTATGAACTTGAGTCATGCTGGTTGGTTGATTAGGAAGAGTTGGCCTGTGTTTTAAAGGGGAAGTTGCTGGACATTTTTGAAGAAGTAACAGAACAGCTCAGTGAGGCTATCACTGTTGACATGATATATGTGGACTTCCAGAAGGCATTTGACACAGTGACACACGTCAGACTTGTAAGGAAGGTTGTAGGTCATGGTATAAAAATGACAAAGGCAACTGGAATACAAAATTGTTTGAGTGACTGGAACCAAAGTAATGGTCAATGGGTATCTTTTGGTTTTAAGGAAGGTTTGTAGTGGAGCTGCTTTGGGGTTGGTATTGGTTTACCTGATATATATTAATGATCTGGATTTGAGTGCAGCAAGCAATTTCCAAGTTTGCGGATGTTACTAAATTTGGAACAACTGTAAACTGTTGATAAGGACAATGTGTAACTCCAAAAGGATAAAGGTTCTGCATGTAGACTAATTAGTAAAGTTAAATCACAGGGGATTTAGGGTGAGCTTGTCAAATTGGATACAAAATTGGCTTGATGGTAGGAGATAGAATGTGGTGGTGGAGGGTTGTTTTTCGGGCTGGAAACCTGTGACTAGCAGTGTTTCACAGGGATCAGTACTGTGTCCGTTTTTGTTTGTCATTTATATAAACAATTTGGATGAGAATATGGGAGGTATGGTCAGTATGTTTGTGGATAACACCAAAATTGGTGGTACAGTGGACAGTGAAGAAGGTTATCTAAAATTACAGAGATCTTGATTAATTGGGTCAATGGGCTGAGGAGTGGCAGATGGAGTTTAATTTGGATAAAAGCGAGGTATTACATTTTGGTACAACAAACAAGGGCAGGACTTATAAAGTTTAATGATAGGGCCCTGGATAGTGTTGTCGAACAGAGAGACCTAGGGTTTCAGGTACATAGTTCTTTGAAAGTTGCATCACCAGGTAGACACGGTAGTTAAGAAGGCATTTAGCACACTCTGCATATGAATCACTGTGTAAAAATGTTACTCCTCATGTCCTCCTTAAAAGTTTTTCCTCTCACCTTAAAAATAAGCCCCCTTGTTTTGAACTCTCCCACCCTTGGGAAAAGACACTTGCTCTTATTTATGCCCCTCATGATTTTATAAACCTCCTATGCTCCAGTGAACAAAGTTCCAGCCTATCTAGCCTATTTTTATAACTTAAACCCTTCAATCCCGGCAACATCTTGGTAAATCCTTTCTGAACACTCTCCAGTTTCATAATATCCTTCCTATAACAGGGAGACCAGAACTGATGACTCTATGACTGACAAGTTGAAGGTGTGGACCGAGAGGAGACAGATGAAGTACAATGCAGTGTGAGGTGATGCACTTTAGTCAGAAGAACACTGAAAGACAATATAAAATAAGGAATACAATTGTAAAGGGTTGCAGGACCAGAAGAACCTGGATGTACAGGTGCATGGATTGTTGAAGGTGGCAGGACAGGTGGAGAGAGCAGTAAATAAATCATACAGTGTTCCCAGCTTTATTAATAGGGACACAGAATACAAGAGCAAGGAGGTGATGTTGAATTTATAGAAGACCTCAACTGGAATATTGTGTACAGTTTGGGCACCTCGTTATAGGAAAGATTTGAATACATTGGAGAGACTGCAGAAGCAATTGACAAGAATGTTTCCAGGAATGAGAACCCTCAGTTATCAGGATAGATTGTAGAAATTGGGACTGTTCTTCCTGGAGAGAATAAGGCTGAGGGGAGATCTGAGCAAGGTTTTCAAAATCATGAGTGGGCTGGATAGAGTAGATAAGGAGAAGTTGTTCTCACTCCTAAAAGAAAAAAAGAACACAAAGGTAAAGATTGAAAGTGACGTTCGAATGTTCAATCTGAAAGCATCGCCTACCACTCCGTCACTATTCCTGGGTATATCCCATCCCACTGGCAGGTGGGAAAATCCTCAATATTGACTTCATGGAGCCTCAAGGCTTCAGTTCAAGGAAAACTACCACTCCCCTCCCAACTAACTTCACCATGTTCATTATCACGAGGGATGTAGATGAAGGACAGATCCCAAAACTGAGTGTCCATGAGGTGCAGTTAACCATTAGCAACAGCAGGATTTTATTCTATCACAATCTCAGAGTCCAGTTTTGAACCTCATGAATGTTCTAGAGAAGGCTACATGCAGGCTCAATACCAACAGTAACAGGTAATAAACGGAGATAAACTGCCAATTACCAACAGATCAGAACAAAGCACTATTTTCCTACCACATCTTGTTGAGAATGGTGGAAAATCAGTCAAATAACAGGAGAAGGCAGCTCCATGATGTGCTGAGAGAACTCCCCTCCAGATCACTGCAATTCTCCCCACAGTCAAAAAGACTCAAGTCAGGAATATGATGATCTCTCCCCACTCATGTTTGGAAACATCTACACCAGGAATGACATCTTGACAGTATGAAGAACACAGACTGAACAATCATGTGGATATTATGAGATAAAATCTGCATGAATTCACAGGTTGATCACAGTGTGCAGCCAATCAGAGTTGATTGTGAGACCGAGAGTAAAAGCAACGACACTATAAGTATTGAGAAATATAGGAAGGAGAAAAGGCTTTTCGTACTCAATGCTCTGAAACATTTCAAGGCCATTCCCTGTGGCAGACTCTCAGTACTGTACTTTGACAGTGCAGCAGTCCTTCAGTTCTGCAGCTCTCAGTCAGGACTGACGTAGCTCACAGTATCTTCTTTGGACCTCCGGTATGCTCAATGTTAATGAATGATTTGGTTGATGGGAATACAAAGCACCACCTGCAAATTTGCTGATAATACAGGACAGGCAGTCGTGTAAACAAAGCAAATGGAAACAGCAAATTACAAAGAGGCATTGATAAATTAAGGTACTTTGGATCTACAGCAATAGAACAAGATAATTTAAAAATGGTTAAAAACTAGAAACAATGAAACTTCAAAGAGATGTTAGGATCAAAGTACAGAGATCACTAAAAGATCATGAACAGGTACAGAAATTAACTAAAAAAATGCAAATGGAATGCTTGCCTTTATGTCTCAAGGAAAATAATACAATGAAATGGAATTCATGTTTCAGTGATACAAAGCCCTGGTTTGATCACACCTGGAATATTGGTAGCAGTTCTGGAAACCTCACCACAGGAAGGCGATACAGGCTTTGGAGAGTGCAATGTAAATTTACTGGACTGCAAGGGTTACATTATGAAGAGAAATTAAAGAAACCAGGGTTATATTCCCCAGAGTTTTTAAAGTTAAGGATGACCTGATCGAAATTTGTAAGATATGACAGTAAGAAGTAGGGTGAATGGAGAGAAATTATTTTTACTGGCCAGGGTGTCTAGGACCAGTGCATCATCTAAAAATTAGAGACAGACCTTTTGGGAGCGACATGAAAAAAACACTTAAATACACAAAGTGTGGGAGAAGACTGGAATTCAAGTCCACAAACCGCAATCAATGTGAAGTGTGAGATCGATAGATTTTAGTTCACTAAATGTTTGAAAATACTGGGAAAGGGCTGGAATATGGACTTTTATCACAGAGGCACCATGATCTCATTGAATGGTGGGACATACTGGAGACAATAAATGGCCACTCGTATTCCAATGTACATTCTCCCAGCCAGGCAACAGTCCCTCAGCATT